GTATGGTATGGTATGGATGATAGGTGAGGGTAGGAACGTAGATCGACTGGTAAATTGAGAGCTTTGCCTTCTGACTCTGCTCTCTCTTCACCACGACAAACCGGTACAATGCCCGCAGCTGTCATGGTCTGTGTCTGTGTCTGTGTCTCTTTGTGTTCCTCTTGTGTCCCCTGGTCTTCAGCCCTCCAGATATTCCCTCTCAGGTCTTGTGTTCCTTCAGTCTCCCCACCATAATTTCCATATGTCTATTATTCCAGTTTTGTGTGTGGTGTGTGTGTGTGTGTGTGTGTGTGTGTGTGTGTGTGTGTGTGTGTGTGTGTGTGTGTGTGTGTGTGTCCTTTCCCAGTTAGGTCTGGTGTCATCTCCTGCTCCTCCTCCCTGATTAGTTATCACTTTCACCTGGTTCTCTCCCCTCACACATGCAGCTCATCATCCTCCCATTATGCCCCAGTGTATTTAAGCCCTGTCTTGTCTCAGTGTCTTGTCGGTCCATTGTTGTTTTGTATGTCAGCGTTTTCTGGTGCTCTGTGTGAGCCTTTTGTCTCGTCCCCAGACTTTGTGCTCTAGGTGAGCTTTCGGTGTCCTGTGCTCCAGGACTTTTGGATTTTTGGCTCGCAGCCTTTTGGATTTATTTTTGTTGTCATCCTACAAATAAAGGGATTTATTCTTTACATCAACTCCTGCCTCGAGTCATCCTGGGTATCTGCATTTTTGGGTCTTAACCATCCCCTTAACGTGACAGCATCACTGCAGATTCAGCACCAATCCGCCAATCGATCTCACGCTCCAGTTTTCCCTCACTCGTGAACAAGACCCCGAGATACTGTAACTCCTCCACTTGGAGCAGGACCTCATCCCTGACCCGAATAAGGCAATCTACCCTTTTCCGAATCAAGACCATGGTCTCAGATTTAGAGGAGCTGATTCTCATCCCAGCTGCTTCACACTCGGCTGCAAACCGCTCCAGCGAAAGCTGAAGATCACGTTTTGATGAAGCCAACAGGACCACATCATGTGCAAAAAGCAGAGACCTGATCCTCAGGCCACCAAAACAGATGCCCTCCACACCTTGGCTGTGCCTAGAAATCCTGTCCATAAAGGTTATGAACAGAATCTGTGACAAAGGGCAGCTTTGGCGGAGTCCAACTCTCACTGGGAACGAGCCCGACTTACTGCTGGCAATGCTGACCAAGCTCTGACACCGGTCATACAGGGACCTAACAGCCCGCATCAGAGGGCCTGGTACCCCATACTCCCGGAGTACCCCCCACAGGACCCCCGAGGGATGTGGTCAAACGCCTTCTCCAAATCCACAAAACACATGTAGACTGGTTGGGCAAATTCCCACGTACCCTCAAGGATCCCCCTAAGGGTATAGAGCTGGTCCAGTGTTCCACGGCCAGGACGATAAACACATTGCTCCTCCTGAATCTGAGGTTCAACAATCCGACGGACCCTCCTATCCAGAACCCCTGAATAGACCTTACCAGGAAGGCTCAGGAGTGTGATCCCTCCATAGTTGGAACACACCCTGCGGTCCCCCTTTTTAAATAAGGGGACCACCACCCCGACCCCGGTCTGCCAGTCCAGTGGGATTGCCCCCGATGTCCACGCGATATTGCAGAGCCACGTCAGCCAACACAGCCCCACAACATCCAGAGCCTTAAGGAACTCCGGGCGGATCTCATCCACCCCTGGAGCCTTGCCACAGAGGAGCTTTTTAACCACCTCAGTGACCTCAGCACCAGAGATTTGAGAGCCCAACTCAAAGTTCCCAGACTCTGCTTCCTCACTGGAAGACGTGTCAGTGGGATTAAGGAGGTCTTTGAAGTATTCTGCCCACCGATCCACAACATCCTGAGTAGAGGTCAGCAGCATCCTGCCCCCACTATAGATAGTGTTGGAAGTGCACTGCTTTCCCCCCCCCGAGGCGCCGGATGGTGTACCAGAAACTCCTCGAAGCCATACGGAAGTCTTGCTCCATGGTGTCACCGAACTCCTGCCATGCCCGGGTTTTTGCCTCAGCGACCACCTGAGCTGCGTTCCACTTGGAATGCCGGTACCCGTCAGCTGCCTCTGGAGTCCCACAGGCCAAAAAGACCTGATAGGACTCTTTCTTCAGCTTGACAGTATGGGGGTTGTCACCACGACAGGCACTGACGATCCTGCAACCACAGCTCCGGTCGGCTGCCTCAACAATGGAGGCATGGAACAGGGTCCATTCAGACTCAATGTCCCCCGCCTCCTCCGGAACATTTTGGAAGTTCTGTCGGAGGTGGGAATTGAAGCTCCTTCTGACAGGAGACTCTGCCAGACGTTCCCAGCAGACCGTTGCAACACGTTTGGGCCTGCCTGGTCTGACCGGCATCCTCCCCCACCATCTGAGCATACTCACCACCAGGTAGTGGTCAGTTGACAGGTCAGCCCCTCTCTTCACCCAAGTGTCCAAGACATGCAGCCGCAGGTCAGATGAAACAACAACAAAGTTGATCATCGAGCTGCGGCCTAAGGTATCCTGGTGCCAAGAGCACATATGGACACCTTTATGCTTGAACATGGTTTTCAATATGGACAATCCATGACTAGCACACAAGTCCAATAACAAAACACCTTTCGAATTCAGATCGGGGGCACGTTCCTCCCAACCACACCTCTCCAGGTCTCACTTCTGTTGCCCACGTGAGCGTTAAAGTCCCCCAGCAGAACGAGGGAGTCACCGGAAGGAGCACTCTCCAGCACCCCCTCCAAGGTCTCCAAAAAGGGTGGGTAGTCTGAACTGTAGTTTGGTGCATAAGCACAGACCACAGTCAGAACCCATCCCCCCACACGTAGGCGGAGGGAGGCTACCCTCTCATTCACCAGGGTAAACCCCAACATACAGGCACCAAGATGGGGGGCAACTAGTATGCCCACCCCTGCTTGGCGCCTCTCAATGGGATCACCTCCGGAGTGGTAGAAAGTCCAACCCCTCTCAAGGAAACTGGTTCCAGAGCCAGAGCCATGCATTGAGGTGAGTCCGACTATATCTAGTCGGAATCTCTCAACCTCACACACCAACTCAGGCTCCTTCTCCACCAGAGAGGTGACATTCCATGTGCCAAGAGCCAGCTTCTGTAGCCGAGGATCAGACCGCCAAGGTCCCCGCCCTCGACTACCACCCGTCACACACTGCACCTGACCCCTTTGTCCCCTCCTACGAGTGGCGAGCCCATGGGAAGGGGGACCCACATTTCCTCTTCGGGCTGTGCCCGGCCGGGCTCGATGGGTGAAAGCCCGGCCACCAGGCGCTAGCCAATGTGCCCCACCTCTAGGCCTGGCTCCAGAGGGGGCCCCGGTGAGCCACGTCCGGGCGAGGGAACACGGTTTCCATTTATATAATTCATCATAAGAGGTTTTCGAGCTGCTCTTTGTCTGATCCCTCACCTAGGACCTGTTTGCCATGGGTAACCCTACCAGAGGCATAAAGCCTCAGACAACTTAGCTCCTAGGATCACCGGGACACTCAAACTCCTCCACCACGGTAAGGTGGCAGCCCAGGGAGAGGACTAAGCCAGCAATTAGCTGAAAAACGACATTTGAAGAAAACTGGTGATTTTAAGCATTTTCAAGCATTTTTAAATCATGGCTTCAAATGGACCCACTAACACCACAGGTGTAAACAGCTTTCTAACACAATACAAGGGTTAAAGGAAAAAAGACATAAAAGTAAAACATGTTTTCAAATGCAATCATTTTTTAACTATGAAATATTTCTTATGCTGCACCTTCTGCACTGTAACTGCTCACCCTTTAAAATTGTCTTTTCTCTGTTTCTTAATTCTGAACCAATTAATTTGGGTATTTAATTAGATCTAAATTTTTATGTGCATTTTAATTGTGCTATCACATGGTTTTAGTGTTCTTGCTTCTCACTAATGGAAAGCACAGTGAATTGCTTCTGTGTATGAAATGTGCTTAACCAATAAAGCTGCCTTGTCTCGTTTCAATTTGAAATTGATTATCATGATAAATAATAAAAGTCCATACCTCTGGACATACCATTTCCTGTTCTTCTTGGTCCGGGGCATTGTAGCTGACTCGGAGGCCCACACTCTGGCGACAGGCCCGTGCAAATCCCTGTACGCACCGCCACATCAGGACCCTGGTCCGTTTGATCCCCCGCAGCACAGACGTGGGCCTGATCTCCCACTGCCTCAAGCACATGGCATGCTCTAACCTGGGAGCCTCACTCACTGCATGAAGCCCAAGTCTGTTTGGAACCATGAGAAATCCACGCTTCCTTTCTTCTTATAGCTCCAGTGTTGTCTGATCTACAAGACATAATGACAAGAGGACAAACACGAGGGGGGACAGCATCTGCGACTCTCGCGAAGCAAAGAGTGTTTACAAGGGAGAAGGCATAAGGGGATTAGGTGTGTGTTCTCACTAGTTGCAATCCTGATTCCTCTCTTCACTGCGTATCACCAGTTTAGGCCAGATTAAGCCTGGAGGTCCTAATCTCTCAACTAGATGGACAGAGAGGAAAGCTAGTGAGACTTGGGCTTGTTTATGCTCCGGATTCTCTTGTATCATAACAGATTAAATTATTGACCAAATTTTCATTACCAAATCGACTGTTAGGATTCTCACCAAATATTTAATATTTATCGTGCAAATTAAGATCAATATTTATACACTTCAGAAATATTTTGAGGTTATCCCAGAATATTTTCCAACTCCTTGCTTGTTGGTTTAATTCTAAAGGTGTCTAAAATATATTACTAAAATTGACATTTATCAATCCACACTGCTCCCTAATTAAAAAAGTTGTAGTTTTTAATTAAAAATTAAGCACAATTTTATTGTGAAAATTGACTACATTTTAATAACAAATAGATGTTTGCTGCTGCTTCTATAAATCTAAAGCAGAAACTTGGTGAAGAAACAAAACATATCTTACAAACGTGTTTGCATGGATAAAACTCGTTCAAAATGTGAATGAACATCAGAACTTCTCATTTTACTGCTCCTGCAGGCCAGAATAGACTGTACATACAGGCAGGCAGGCTGCAGGCAGATTGGAGAGCACGTGACTGCATGACTGTCACATGACAGACATTGTGTCCTTAGTGTCAGCTGTTAGCACAACATAGCTGCTGGGTAAGTACCTCAACACGGTTTTTAAACAGATCAAATTTGGACCAATGCCTTATTTCTGAAATTTTACCATATTTTGACAGTCTGCGGAATGCTAAATTAGCAAAGCTACTTTCGGCTAGCATCTGTAGGCTTCTTTCTACTTGTTTCGAGCTGGCTTTGAGCTAACGGTCCTTTTGTGTCCGGAAACAGCTGAATTAGAATATGTCGCACGTTTAAAATAATGTTACGATCTTATTATATAGTAATGTCGCTATTTGAGTATTATAATATCTTATTTCAGTCGACGGAGAATCCATTAAATAGTCGTGACATTCATTGGGCTAGCTAACATGACCTGCTGATGCTAACTAGCTTCAGCTACTGAACGTTTTGTCATCTTACTAAGTAGAATAAATGAAGTAAAACTGTTATTTAAAGCTTAATATTAATTTGGGATCAGACTAAGTTATTTCACTGCAGCTGTTTTTACAACTGTGAGCGTTTCATGCTAAACAAAGCTAAAATCTGTTGTTTTTTCCTCTGTCGGGGTCTGTGATTGTATAAACGTTTATGTCTTCTCTCCAGGTGCAATCTTTTATCAGATAAACTGCAGAAAATCCTGAACACGATGGATATCCGCGGGGCTGTGGACGCTGCAGTCCCCACCAACATCATTGCTGCAAAGGCAGCAGAGGTTCGGGCTAATCTGGTCAACTGGCAGTCCTATCTTCAGTAAGTTCATTAAAACAGTTTTAAAGATCTACTTTGGTTAAATAGTTTAATCAGAGTTTTATTCTACCTTGATCTTTTTATTGTTTGATTCTTTCATTATATTTCAATACTAATTTAAGCAGCATTGTATTGACTGAGTTATGGAATATATACATGAAAATTAACAGAATATTTACCTTTTTAAACTTGATCTATGAAAAATCCAGTTTGGGTGGAGATGTTGATTAGTGAGGACCATTTGTAGTTTTCAATTTGTGAAGATAAATGTCCAAAGTATGCAGTGCAACATTTTTCATTTTGCATCCGACAGAAGTCCATATTTTGAAAGTGCACATTGGCTGCAATTTATTATTTTCGGTTGAAAAATTAACCTGAATTGATGGCATATTGTATATTTTACGTTGCAACATGTCAAAGTAGCTGTTGTGTATTTCCTGGATTGTGATTCACTGTCTTGAGTCCTACTTCCCTTTTTATCTAGAATCTTTTTTAGAACATGGTGCATTTTTATTTGCACTTTAACATTTTTATTCTGGTTTTCGTAAGCATGATTTACTGCAACCTCCAGCTGTTACCGTCCTTGCTGCCTTTACTAGAGCAGATCACATGTCTGTGTGAATTGCCACCATTTTTCAAGCTCTCTCTTTCAATTTTCAGCATGCCAGCAACAAATCAATGTCACAAGGAGTATGTGCTGACGCCAACATTTTACAAACATCATTTTAGCTATGTTCTAAAATAACATTGTCATGATTTATTTGCTTGTAGGAGTCAGATGATCTCTACAGAGGACTGTGAATTCATCAAGAAGTTTGAAAAGGCCAACTCGGAGGAGAAACAAATGATCTTGACCAAGGAGGGACATCAGGTAAACAGTTCTCGTACACTAGCTGAACATTATCAGAGTTAATTGATATATTTTGCTCATTTAACGTGAAAATGGTGGTGCTTGATGGATCATTAAGTGTTTGAATCATCAATAAAGCTATAAAATTGTTGCTTGATGTCAAAAGAAACCATTAAAATTTCACCTTGAAAACAAGTGTTGCTGACACAAACTTCTAAAACAAGTGCCTGACAGCTAAATAAAGACACTTTGTTGAGGGTTTCAAAGGACTCACAGGGTTGTGTTTTATCTTTTTTTTTTAGTGTGCAAAGACATTCCTAAACTTGATGGCTCACATCTCCAAGGAGCAGACAGTCCAGTACATCCTGACTCTGATTGATGACACTCTGCAGGTACACAGACAGAAACACTGGGTTTTGGATTTTACACAAATCCCTAAATTATGGTGGATTTTCAGTCTTGATAACTTCTAAATTAATTTAAATAATGATTTACTAATTTTATCTTTAAATAATAAAATATTAAATTAAACTGCATTAATTGTTTAAACCAAAAACATTTCTCCCTTTCATTTAATTAGCTTATTAGTGTTACACTCCCCAAAAAATAATTTAACTCTTGATTGTCATTTAGGAGAATCATCAGAGGGTGATCATCTTCTTTGATTATGCCAAGAAGACAAAAAATACCCCCTGGTCCTACTTCCTTCCAATGCTGAACCGTCAGGACCTCTTTACTGTCCACATGGTGAGTGAGATTTTTGAATTTGGAAAAACACAAATGTTAGTTTGGAAACCTGTGACCAAGACAGATAATTCTGTGTATCAGGTGCATTGATCACACGTTAAAGTTCCAGGAGAGATTAAATAGATAGCTTTAGGTATCTTTGTTGAATTAGTAAGTCAATCTTGTGTTTAGTCAGCTGGCTGTAAGCAAGCAAATCCCCTGTTGTCCCATTGGACTGTGATTCTGTTGCAGCACAACTGGTTTGAAAACATTAATTCTGGCTTTTTTTGACAAGATTTCAGAGCATAGCAGCAAACCAGTTCTGTACTCCACCAACCCTAGCTCCTAGCTTAGAGCTGTAAAATAAAGTGGTCTTGTTTTGAGGATTCATGCTTTTAGTTGCATGGAATTGGGGCTGAACGATCTATCGTTTTTGGACCGTAATTGTGATTTTAACACTGCACGATTACGTGACCATCAAAGCTGCGGTTTTAGCGGTTTCGACTGATCCAGGATCAGTTGTGTAACTTTTTTTTTTACATCCAGGGTTTTTCCCCCGTGTTATGGCTGCGGCAAAAGCCAGCACGGGGGAGGGGGGTGGGGTGTACCATCCAGAGTAGAGCCGAACTCCACAGCTGACAGAGCTGCATGTTCAGGTTATTTTTCCTGTTTTATGTTTCCACACACAGCTAGGGCTGGGCGATAGGGCTGTCGCGGTTGAGGAATTCCTCCTGCGGTGATTCAGGGTGGCTTAATATTGCGGTGTGCGATATTATTGCAGCCCTTTTTTTATTGCAGTACTATCTAAACATAATGTTTACACATTTAAAAAAGGTTAAAAATTGCCGTGCCTTCTTTTATAACACTTTACTGAATGCAGATCAAAGGGCAGTAACAACACAGATCGCAGTAACGTTTGTTTCTCCGACAGTCGGAGTCCGACTGAACTTAAAAACAACAAAATTCAGGAGGTTAAACTTTTAAATGCAAATTTGGCTGCAGCATCTAACAAATAAGAAACAAGTCCTCATTTTGTTTAGTTGTTTAAAATCAAGCATAAAAAATTACATGTACCGGGCGCGCGCGCGCGGGGGGGCGGGCGCACTATCATTTCACTTTCACACACACGAATGACGGTGATTTATAGCTCGGTCACGTCCTTGTTACCCACAAGCAAAACCAGCATGATAACTATATACGGTTTGAGAGAGGATCTGAGAGGGGTGGCAACATTTCCAGCAACACTGAAAACCCTCTCGGATGGTGCGCTCGTTGCACTAACGCACACGTACTTGCGTGCGACTCTGGCGAGCAAAGGGAATCTCTCCCGGTTGTTGCTCCACCATGTCAGGGGGGTTTCTTTAGGGTGGATGCATTCCTCCTGCAGGTAGCGAGTGAGCTCCAGCTCGGCTCAAACTCTCTTCGGACGGCTGCAGAAGCAGTGCTTGTCCGGGACTTCAGCAGGTCTTCGAGCGTATATTATTATTTTTTTGCCGCTGGTGGCAGCTCTGTCTCGGCCAAGGACCCTGGCTGCGCAGTGCTGACGTACTGAAAACCAAAGTGCTCCCAAAGGAGCGAAGTAACGTTTCGTTTTGATACCAGTGCAGCCATCCTTCTCAACATGCATCATTGAGTTGAACCAAGTTCAGTAATCGCGGTGGCCCATGATGCAGCGCGGTGGGCTTCTTCATATTGCGATATTTCATTTTTGCGGTTACCGCGACAGCCCTACTGGGCGATATGACGATTTTAGACCGTTTTACGATCTACACATCTGACGGTCTGTCATTTTTGAGAGACCTTTTTATCACGATTCACAGCTCTGCTGTTGAAATTCTGCCTCTGAATGAAAAGGGAACTTACCTCAGGCGAATGACACGCCTTTGTTTGACCCTTAACCAATCAGAGTGAGTCATAGTAATATATTAGTGCCCCGCTTGTTTTCACCTGTGTGTGAACAAACATGGCATGTTTGGGATGTGCTTGACCGGCGTATACGACAGCGTGTACCAGTTCCCACTAATATCCAACAACTTTGCACAGCCATTGAAGAGGAGTGGACCAACATTCCACAGGCCACAATTGACAATCTGATCAACTCTATGCGAAGAAGATGTGTTGCACTGCATGAGGTTAATGGTGGTCACACCAGATACTGACCGGTTCTGAGTCCCCAGACCTCCAATAAAGCAAAAAACTGCACATTTCAGGGTGACCTTTTATTGTGGGCAGTATAAGGTACACCTGTGCACTAATCATGATGTCAGATCAGCATCTTGATGTGGCACACCTGTGAAGTGGGGTGGATTATCTCAGCAAAGCACAGGTGCTCACTATCACACTTTTAGACTGATTTGTGAGCAAAGTTTGAAAGAAATGGTAATATGTGTATCTGGAATGAATTTTAGATCTTTAAGTCCATCTCATGAAAAATCATAGCAGAAACAAAGGTGTTGTGTTTATATTTTTGTTGTGTGTGTGTGTGTGTATATATATATATATATATATATATATATATATATATATATATATATATATATATATATATATGATAATAATGGGAGAAAATATTAATGGCTTTAACTGTTTTTATTGCATGATTAAATAGTTAATATTAATGTGAATGATTTGTTGTACTAGATTAGAATCTAGACCATCTTTTCACTTAATCTACAGCATGGCTTGACAGGCTATAGTGTTGGACCTTTGTTTGTAGAAAATCGTGAATTGAACCGAAATGGCAATTTCTGTTAGGAAAATTGCTGTTCAACCTTTTCCTAACATCTTTCAGCCCTACATGGAATGGACGGCTAGTTGTGTTTGTTGTTTAAGTTGAGAAAAGAAAGCAGTAGCATGGAAGCGCTGTTGGAGAAAGGCAAACATTCCTCCAGAAAACCTTCAGTCCTGTTTGTAGGCAACTTCTAGGACAGGCTTTATGTTGTACAAAACAAAATTGAAGAATATTGTTTGAATTTTGCACATTTTTGCTTTTTAAATGGGATGTTAAAGGTGCATTATGTAGGAATGAATTTAAAGTGACATCCTGTGTCAAATGTTTTTACTGCAATCACACGCTCACTCCTGTTCCGTGAGTTTCGTGGTTGTTGCCCGATACAAATTGGCACCAGAAGGTTCTAGATGACAAAGACGAGTCATACACAGTAAGTTGATTAGTAGATAAATACATTGTCATATCTGGTGTTAACACTCGAGTGTTTTACGGTAGTGTTACAAGCCATCATCCCAAGCTAGCCTCACTCTTCTAAAGATGTTAACGTCTCAGGGTTGACTTGTATTTCTATTTGCGTGGGCGTGACACCAGCCACTCTTTAAAATGCCTGCACTTTGTAGAAGGTGATTAGCAATCACCGCTAACCTAGACTCTGATTCTGGCAAAACCAACTTTATGCAGCTCAAGGGAGACTCAGTTTACTCACAACACACCCTCAGTCCATGAAGCTTATGTACACTTCAGATTAAGACCCTTGCCAGCTGTTCCTTTTATGTTTAGGAGACAACTGACTTTACTTGTAGCCTAGGATGGAGGAAACGGCTTATATCAATTACACCTTGGGATGGCATTTACAACCAGCATCTCACCTTTGCTCGGTTACCGATTGGAGGAGACCCCACTCGTAAATCCTTTATTCGTTCCACGAATCCAAGGAACTAGGTTTTATTTCACACAGATGAAAAGAAGAAGAATAATCCAAACAAAACCCAGACAACGCGGGTTAAAAAGTGAACAACTCTTTGCCAATAAACCGAGGTATAGCAAAGTTGAGCTGAATAAGCTCTCCAAAAAACGACACTAGGTCAGATTATCACAGACAAAAAGCTCAAAGCAAAAGCTTCCTTCTTTCCATCTCTGTACCTCACATACACTTCCCATCAAAGGCCAACTCTCCTAAAAATTCCGAAAAGCCTTTCTCCAAAAAGCTCAGTCCATGACTGACTGACTCTCACTCATCCCATCAAGCTCAACTCTTGAACAGACCCAATATCTTCATTTTATTCACTCTGTCCCCTCCCTCACAGTAATGTCTTTGTTTGCTGCTTCAGACTTCATGGTCACGTGTTCCTCTTCTTCTTGTTACTTCTCCAACGGCCCCAAAGAGACCATAAATCTTGGATGTCATAATGTCACCTTTTCTTCTCCCAGTCTTCATCCGTTCACTTGTTTCTTCTTCTCAGTGCCTCCTGCAGGCTTTCCTTTCTTCTCCTTTGGGATTACATCACCTCCTCTCGTAGCCATTGGTCAATAGGGGGGACGTGTGGTTACCCCTCCCTTTTCTTCCTCTGCCCAGGATCAAATGGTCATCTCCAACATTAGCTGGACGAGATTTCTTATTTATATGGTTATAGCATCTTGACCAACTCCACAGAGGATAAAAGATAGCTTACTCCCAACATATGTTCACGTCAAAACAGGTTACATTCACAACATGAATCGTTTGACCATATCAGCAGAGTGAAGGTACATCACTAATTTACGACATCACAGTTCAGGGGGCTAGATGGCTGCCTGGACACACACACAAACATGATAAGAGAAGGTAACAGGCCTTTAGCTTGGTTTCACACACACACGGATACACCTTATAGAGCCTAGAATTGATTTCACATAATGAGAGACATAATCCAGACTTAATTCCATACATTAACAAGTCTGATTATACTCCATACAACAAGTAGGGTGCACTTACTACACTTATTACAATAATATGCCGCCGGCATTGAGAAAGTATGGTTGTTTATCGTCTTGCTGTTATAGTTCTGAATGACTCATAAAAGGAAGTAAAACGCCACGATGGAGTCAATATTCACTTGACACATACATTCAGTGTTTCTCTTGCATAGGCTCAGGCGTGGCATTGCGCCACTGTTGAAATTTCAGCGCCACGGCTACGAAATCTCCCTGCGGGAGACCCATGGCAGCTAAACGGAGCACACCCACATCCCCCACTGGCTAACATTTCAAGAGGAAACACCAACATTTCACTGTAATATTGAGTTGTTATTAATTGAAAAAGTAATTTCGAGATATTTTTAGAGATGTCTATTTTTTCCTAATTCACCGTTCACATTGTTAGCTCGATGTGAGCTCAATGTTAGCTTCTTTCATCCTGGCGTTGCAGAATTAGCTCGCAGGAGACACAGCAACCTCACACTCACTCATGGTAAACAGTAGCTATGCCCTTCCTCCTTATACTTTCAAAGGAGATAAACTGACAACCCCTGCTGCCAGATGAGAAGGAAATGTTTCGTCATTAGACTTTTTTGGGATTATTTTATTATAGAACTCGTACTTTATTCTCACACATTGCACCTTTAAGCATTTCATTTCGCTCCAAAGATGAACACTTTTGAAACTAGACTTTGCTGTGGCCACAAACAAACAAGTAAATGTCAGTGAAGCATCTCAGGACAGAACAGTCCATACAGATCAGGTAGCAAATAGAAATCAGCTTTCTAGGAACTTGGCAGCAGTTGGTTGATTATCTTACTAACAGATAATGATTCCTCGTTATCATCAATTACTGGTGAACATTTCCCCAGGGTGGTCTGATGTTTTGGCCTGTTGTTGTTTCAGATGGCGACTAAAGAAAAGCTTGGCACTAGATGAAACACAAAATCCAACATCACTTATTTCAACCTATTTAAAAAAAACATTCTGCTATTCAAGCTATTTACAGTTCCTCAGCAGCTGTCCGTCAGTGAGAAACATGTTTTCTGTAAACATAAACACACCCAATACAAGCATGCTCTTGTTTTGGTTTTATGCATAAATCTGACCGCAGCTCAGCGCTGTAAATAGTTTGTGTACACGGTGAGTTGTGATCTATAAATATCTATAGTTTGACATTAAAACTTACCCACAGGAAGGTCTTTTCTGGAAAGGACACTAGAAGATGAAGTGAGGAAGTGCACTGAATATAAAAATAAAACCTATAGTTTAACTTGATGTATTAGTTTACTGCTATAAATGTTTCATCAGATGTTTTTCTCTCTAATCTTAGCTCAGCATCAATAATTCCGCACAAAACAACCTTCCAGTAATGACCCGTCTGCTCTTTTCAACTCAAGAATGACCATTCAGTGGACACACCTGTGAAAGAACACACACAGTCTAATTAATAATGCCATCCAGACGGTGTCCAGCAGGTGGGCGGAATGTGACCCCAGGTGTGTGACACGCCACTTAACTCGATCCAAGTGTCGTGCTGAGTCGGGCTTTTAAATTTCAGCCTCCAGTGTTTCCTCACATCCTCCTCTGGCTAGGAGGAAATTAGAGGCCAGATTTTGTTCCTGTTTAATCACAGGGTGCGATTACCAAGCTGAAATTGTTTATTAGATATCAGATGTATCATCTGCCATTTTTGTTTTAGAAAAAGTTAATCTATGATCTTTGTTGGGATCTTTTTTTGTTTTCTTTTTCTTGACTATCTCTTCTAAACAAAAGCCATTATTATCTGTGTGTGTGTGCTTCCAGACATGAGCACACTTATCTTTTCTTTTTGTTCCTGGAAGCTAAAATGACCTCATCGTGTAGAGTGCCAAACCAAAGTTATGTTATCCTCATCCTCAGAAAAAACTGTAATGCAAAATGATTATAATTGGCATTAGCTCAAACCAGTGGGGTTTCATTTGACATGTGCACTAGTGATGGTTAAACGGAGTTGTTATGGATTGATCTTGTTGCATTTTATGGAAGATTTAAATATCTGTAGTTGGCAGACATAAGCAGCCTGAATACGAAATGCTCTCTTTGATCGTTTTAGGCGGCGAGGATCATCGCTAAACTGGCGGCTTGGGGCCGTGACCTGATGGAGGGAAGTGATCTGAACTATTACTTTAACTGGATCAAAAGTCAACTCAGTTCACAGGTATGGAAATGACAACTTTATTTAAAAGGTTTGAAATAGTCTACCAAGAGCATAGTTTAGTCTCAGTGGCTTTGTTTGCATAGCATTTGTAAACACAAATAACACCAGTCGTTACAGATTAATCTTATTACTTTCATGTACGCTTACATTACATAGATATATTTGGAAAGCTTTAGTTTAGAGGTCGACAAATGTGGTTTTTCTATTGCTGATACCGCTATGTAGGAGATACATGGTTAGCCGAATGTTAATGTGTATTGCCAGTTTTTATGGGCCATGACCCTTTAGGCCCTAGGCCTTTTTTCTTTGGTCCCTGGCGCCTCCCAATTGGAGGCCTTTGGCGTTTCATGTCCCAAGTGTCAGTGATTGTATGCATTCCCCGAGCACAGCTACAGCTACAATCCAAACAGTTTAGATTGTAAACAAAGCAATTTTTAGATTTTGATACATTAAAATAATACTTGAACTTTATTTTAGAAGAGCAGCCCTGTGAGAAAGTACTGACAGGATGGAGGTTGTGAGTTCAAATTCTATTTAGGAAATTGAGTCTATTGTTTTATTTATTCCAGGGGTCCTCAACTAAATTTGTTCAAGGTTTTTTTTTTTCCCAGCAGGCATCAGTGAAGGCCAGATGCTCTTTTAAAATAAAGTTAAAGTATCATTGTATCTTAATGTATTACAATTTAAAATGGCCTTGTTTCCCATCTGGGCTGTTTGATTGTGGTTTTAGTTGTGTTTGGAGAATGTGGACGGTTGTAGATGTTTGGGACATTGGGGGGCGTTAGGGTTAAACGGGTTGATATCTAGACATTTTCCACCTCATGTTCATGCTAAAATGCACTAATAACATCAATTGATGCACAACATTTCTGAAGCTGAATCAGTTTTAGAACTCTGAATTTAGCCAACTGTTCAATCTTAACTTTGTGTTAAAGTCAGACACCTAAAGTTAAGTTAGAGTATTTATTATGCAGACGTTATTAGTGAAAGTAAAAATACCTTTAAATTAAATTCTGCTACAGCACCGAGCTTCCAGAGGATGTGCCTGACTTTAAATCAGCTTTACTAAGAACAGATATCAGCAGATGTAGAGAAAACGGTAAAGGCAAGGCAGCTTTATTTGTATAGCACCTTACAATAGCATAAAACCGACCAAAGTGCTTCACAGAATTTAAAAACATTAAAAACAATACAAAACATAAAAATGCATAAAAACTAAAGCTTAAGAACAAACACTGAAGAGACTCATGCTGAGTTAAAAAACAAGTCATAAAAATGGGATTTCAAAAGAGATTTAAAACCAGACAGTGAAGGCAGACCTAATGCTCAAAGGCAGCGCCTTCCAGAGCCTGGGGGCCCACCCACCCCTACTCAAGTTAATAAAGCTGCTTTAAGAGTCTTGAGTTTAGATTTCTTCTTTTTTTTTTTTTACTGTTTTTTTTAACTAGTCATAAGAATTCATCATTTCTATTCATTTCTTGTCATTTTGTTCTGTGGTTTGGATTCAAAGTTAAACAATTATCTAAATGAATGTGTTGCATACATTAATGTTTGGTTTCAGCAGGCTTGTCAGATCTTATGATGGTCTAATTACTGCTCATTAAGTGCTGGCTTGGCTTTGGGTGATGCATGCACTAAAGATCAGGTGGTAAATTAAATGAATATTGATTTATTGTCTCTTAAATCACCTTGAATGCAACAGTGTTGAACTCAGATTTACAATTATTCTAAAATCCTCACTTTTTACAGCCTTTTTTCATTTTAAACTTTCTGCTGACTTAAGTAAGTTTTGTCTCTTAACCGACTAGAAGTTGCATTTGTTGCCAGCTCATTTCCCCCTACGATCATGGAGATAAATCGGTGAGCTGCTCCTGAATCCTGCAGCCGAGCACCTTTCTGTGTGGCTCTGCCACTGAAACTCAGCTCACAATCATGGCTTTTGAACGATTTTGCACCTATTTTGTTTATCTCCCATTAGAATCTACACGGTACAGAAACAGGAGCAGGAACTATTTCCCCCGGTGAAGTGAGTATGAGTGCAGTGGATATGTAGTCACTCTAGCACCAAAAACAAAAAAGAAGGGAAACCAGCAGAGCTTGTCGAAGCTGACATTTATTAACAGCCTCTGGACTCGCATCTTTCCTGTCCTCCATTTTTCTCCCCATCTTGTTGTTGCACTCCTGTTTCTCATGAATAACTCCAGATACTTGGACCCTGTCGATATGATCAGAACAAACTCTTCATTTAGTCAGCGTGGTGTTTGCTGCCACGGGCTCATCGTAAATGTACGAGTGAAAACTGCATGCCAGAGGCCAGTTCCCTCTACTGCTGAAGGCGCATGACCAACCCGCTCTCCTTGACCATTAGACTAACTAGAGAAAATTGAAATGGCATTTGCACCGCAGCAGCATCCCACCATCTTGTGTTCCCGTACTTTTCCAAGCACTTATTCTGAGAAGTGTGCTCAGAAACGAGTCCGTGGAAGCCATCTAATAACGTATCATTTCCTTTTCCTGTGCATTTTCAACCAGGTAACGTGCTCCTGTGCTCAGCTGCTCTTCTGTCCTCATTGCTGCCTGAATCTCTTGCTGGACTTAAACTGTGATTGAGCTGCTCTTAATTAACAGATTAATGTGAAATATTTCTTCCTCTCAGCTTCCTGCTCTCCAATCTCTCTTTACATTCTGCTCAGGTGTGATTGGACTCTTCCCTGCTGTTGTTTTGTGTGATTTTTAGCATGTGTTGATGTGCACATACAGTAGACTGCATGTGGACTGCAGGTTTGTTTTGTACTTTCTCCTCATCAACCTGACTCCTTAAACGTACTTGTCTTTCTTGTGCAGCCAGAACCCATTCTCCTGTTTGGAATCGCTTTTGTCTTTTTTTCAGAGCTCTCAGTACGTCCAGTGTGTTGCTGGGTGTCTTCAGCTGATGCTGAGGGTCAATGAATATAGGTTTGCCTGGGTGGAAGCTGATGGAGTCACCTGGTGAGTGATGGTTTCTTCTTTGTTCAAGGTTGCAGCCGTTTTTCACTGTCAGCAGGAATTCCACCCTAGAGGTCACCAAGAGTTTGTCATTTTTGAAGTTTGTTCTGCTGTCCTCCTCGTGGTTTGGAATGAATGTACAGATTGGGATAGGAGTTATTTTTAATAGTATTTGATTAAAAATATTTTTACAAGACATCCGTTATCTAAAACAACAAAACTTCTCATTATGATGATGGCATTAGTCACCACAGAACCACGTGGGTGCATGCACAGTGAGTACCAGCAGCACGCTGGCATGATGGCCACGAAGGTGAGAAAGAACCAGGTAGCTCCACAGTTTAGTGGCTTGTCTTCACCGCGTAGGACGGATTACGTGTTTGATCACATTCTGATCTTGGGTCAAGATGCTCTCATGGATAATTGTCTTGATGTGTGTACCGATAAACTCACAGCAGCTATTAATACTTTGTCTCATTACCTGAGGTGAGACATTTCTCATCATTTTCCTGGAAAAGGACCTGCTGCTGTTCTATTAGAACTTGTAAAAACAGGAAGGAGCTGGGAGAAGATGACCGCTGAAGCTGAATTACATATTTAATGCTAAGAAAAAAGTTTATGATAGAACAATATCTGTAATTTGCAAAATATTTAAAGAGCAGGTTGACTGAGAAACCATTTTTTATGATCAGTCTGAATTTAACATGCAGACTGAACTTGAAAATAGTCTTCTAAATAAACATAGTCTCCTACCCCTATTTCCTGCATTAGCTTCTGATAGACATATTGTCTATATGTTACTAATTGTATTTGTTCAACTGGCTGTTGCTTTAGTTTTGTCTTTGTTAGTTGGGGTCGTGTGGTGTGGGGTGAAGTATTGTGAGCCCTTGAGGGTGTGTGTGTGTGTGTGTGTGTGTGTGTCTGTCTGTAAATGATTGTTGTAATGTTTTGATTTTGATTTTTGATTGTTGCTCTTTTTTTGTTCTTTTTGTTGTAAACGAGGACCCACTCGAAAACGAGAGGTTTCATCTCAAGCGGTTATTCCTCCGTATAAAATTATGTTTAAATAAATAAATAAATAGAAAATAGACAGAAAAATGCTCGGTTCAGAAAAGCCTGACAGATCTACGTCACTGTCACTCAACATTCATGGACTCGCCCATCTTGAAGGCTGTTGTTGGTTTAGCGAGTAGAAGCTAACCATTAGCATTAGCAACTCCACAACACTGCAGGAATCTTCCAGGCTTGTGTTATTTGTGGAGGTAAAACATCAACATAGCAAAGCAAATGGTGTCGGTGGTAAAGTCCACTCAGAGGCAAGATGTTCAATAATCAGGAAATAAGACTAAATCCTGCCGTCTTATGCCACTTTCTCCTCCTGCTCATATGTTCTCAACCAGCATCGGACCCTTTATCCCCAGAGAACAACTTAAGCCTGGGGAGCACAGAAGACTGAGTACAAAGCCATATCCCAGAAATGCCGGTCCGCACGGAGGCGCTTAACACAGGCCTCATTTCTGTTTTAAGTGCTGTGGAGCAACTGTTTACGACATTGTGGAGTACTTTACAACAGGCGTTATAACGCGCAACGGCTTTACAGCACAAACCCAACCACCAAAACTTGGACGAGGAGCTTATAAATGCTACTTGATTACAGCATTAGCAACTTTAAAGTACTATTGATATTAAAATATTCCAATAAAATGGCAAACTTACCCATTTTTATTTAGTCTCAATGGAAAGTCTGATCATGCATAAGTAAAGGAGTAACATTCCGCTTCCTGTTTTATGTCCCGCGTGATGTTGTGACTATCGTGCGATTTTCAAGAAGCGTGCAGCAGCTTCTCAAGACCACGGCGCTTCCGAGGCGCAGTGCATTTGTCTTCTGTGTGCCCCAGGCTTTACAAGCCTTTCATTCCTACCAGAGACCACTCCAAATGTATTGAAAACACGAGTAAAGTTGACCTTTAACTCATCAAAATTCGGTTAAAAAAGTCAAACACAATAAAACGTATTATAAATGCTGAAGATAAACAAGTAAAGGAGAACCATTCTGATGAGGTAAAAGAAAATCCTTTTTCATATGAGCGATACGCTTTATGGTTGTAATCGAGCCGCATTTCCAGAAGCAGAGAGAAGTTGAAGCTAGTTGAGCCTGAGGAGTAATAAGAGGCTTTAATGTTGATGCTGTCACAAAAATATTCAGTAGAAATGATTCCCACCATCTTTGACTTGTTTCTTATGCTGATCAGATTGTAGAAGCAGCCTTGCTGCATAACTTTTGAGATAATTATTGGCCATCTACAAAGTCCACATCTCAGCACTTAAAAGCTATTGCTGCAAATGTGTGGGTCTGTGTCTGGTTGTGGACTTCAGTAATTTAATGTTTAAAGCAGCTCATCCATTATCTGAAGACTGAATATTTCTTCCTCGGCTATTATCGGAGATAATGGAAGTGAAGCATGTAGGTACACAGCTGGGAAAGCTCCTCTGAGTAAACATGTGTTAGATATAAATGTGAGTCCTTTTCTAACCACTTAGTGGTTATTTTATCCATTTTAGTTTTTACCCATGTGATTTTTCCCCCTCTGTTGTAGTATCACAGCTGTGCTGAGCAACAAGTGTGGCTTCCAGCTCCAGTACCAGATGATCTTCTGCATCTGGCTCCTGGCCTTCAGTCCTCAGCTCTGTGAACAGCTGAGACGTTACAACGTGGTGCCGGCCCTGTCCGACATCCTCCAGGAGTCTGTCAAGGAGAAGGTCACACGGATCATTCTGGCTGCCTTCAGGGTCAGTAGTGAGATGTATTCACATGTTCCATCTGCAGACATCAAATGGTCTGCTTGTTTTTGTGTGTGTTTGTTGTTTTTTTTGTGTGCCCCTCCCCTACACACGAATGCAGTGTGTTTGGGGGTTCATACTCCCTCACTTTCATTTTCTTCTTTTTAAAATAGCTGCGAAGGCAAGTGAGATGTACATCCTTTTATATGTCGATTGTGGCGCAGAGTAGGGCTGCAACAAACGATTATTTGGATAATCGATTAATCGGATGGGGTCTCGACACGATTAATCGGATTAAATGGGGAAATTTTTAAAAACTGCTAGGGAAACGTTATTTCTCTCCTTCCTTCACTTTATTTAACACAACATTATTAGAAAACAGTTCAATAGCAGAAAAACAACATGCCATCACCTAAATTGTCTTATAAGGTGTATAGACAGAGACCCTAAGCTACATCTATCTGTGACCTAAAGTGCTTGGTCCAAGTTAAACAGCTTAAGGGCAATTCTCATCTGTTTTGTTTGATCTCATCTGTTGACATTGTAACGGAATCAAAGTGATGTAACTAGCCAAAGTTGTATTTTAATACACTGTTAGTAGTTCACTTTTATAAACAGAAGAATAGGCTGTTTTTATCATCAGGGAGTTTAATTAAACACTCTGTATTGACTTTGAGACAAGAAAAGAGGGAGATATGGGATCGTTTGAGAATCTTTAATTTCTGAATTATAAATTCTAAACAATCTACCAGGACTACTCTGTGATGGATGAGAATGGATTCGGATGTTGTGTTGGTGCGTGTGTGTGAGTCTGTGTGTCTGGTTCAGATTCTCTAGGATGACGTAATCGAATCTGGTCGTCTTTGTTATGACTAGATATCACGAGGCTTATAAAGTGATGACATGAGCCGCTATTTTGCCGTGTACGTACCCAGTGGGGTCTCCCAAGTAGATCAGGAATTGCCAGGTCTGGAAACCTCGGATGTACGGTGGAGCTGTCGGTGCAGCGATCACAACGTTTCAAAGCCCGTCTGGAGGGTCGACCCGGTACCGTTCAGCGGCGTCAGCCGGTGCTCTTATTTTGAAAGGACGTCGTCTGGTTGTTAAACGACGAAAATATCCCGTTTCACAGTTCTTAGTTTAAAGAAAACGCATCCGGCCAGGTTGCGCTTGTCTTTAGGATGATGGTGAATAGAACTGAAGTCAAAATGGAACTGACTTAAAATGGCGTTGCCTTGTTTTATATCTCTGAATTGTTGATAAGTTTCAGTAAAGTAGATTGGACACTTGAAGTCAACACCAGATTCTCCTGCGGCAGCCGAAAGCTCTGATTGGTTGGAACCATGTGTCATGCGTTTCTATGGAGATGAGGATCAGTATGTCTGCACCGTAGTCCTGGTTTCATTAAACATAATTCATGACATATTTATTTCACAGATCATTCACTTGATTATTGTTGATCAACATCTGTTTTGCTTAATAATTTTAATCACAATTAAAGTACTTTGATTAAGTAAAGCTTCTTCTTCTCCTTCGGACTCTTCTCCTGGAATGTAAACAGTCTGAGGAACAACCCGACCTTGGTTTTTCTACACGGTGTTATTGTGCCCAGGGCCAGCTGTATGGAGTTGAAAACCATGAACTTCATAACCTTACAACATTTATTTTAAATGTAATTAAACACAGGCTGTGAATTAATCAAAATTGATCACTATTTCCAAAAATGACTGAAAAAATACCAAATAAAACAAAAGTAAATGAATGCCATCCTCCTTGTGATGATGCCCTGGGCAACTGCCATAAAGTCACATCAAGAAATGCTGCTGATCATTCCAATGATCCCAAATAGACTCACATTAGGCCACATGAAATCAACTGAACCCAAAAATATATTAACCAGTATATAACTGCACTCTCATACAACACGCCTGCAGCAACAGTTAGGACTCCTCCCTCCCTTTTAAAAGCGTTTTTCTTCCGAGGACATTGTGGTTGTAAAACCACATGCTAGTAGTCTGGCCCCGGTGTGATCAACCAGTTTCTGCGGGAATGTGACGGCGGAACCAGGGCCAGATTAACACTTTGTTGTACCCTGGGCAACAATATTCAAGGGCTCCATCATCACGACCCGAGGATCACCATATGTGGTCACATACAGAATATTTTACTGTAATATGCAGTAAATATACTCAGTACTTGAATGCCTGACAACACGTAACCCACCCAGAGTAAACTTTGACCCACCTCGTGTGGACTGACCAATGAGGAGAGGGTCTTAACTTGAGGCCCTCTCTTCATTGGTCAGTCTGCATGAGACTGACTCTCAACTGACGTTCAGTCATAGGCAGCGAAGCGTCTCTGTGCAGCGCAAAAGCCCAGGTGGACAGTTTGTTTAATGTAGGGTGATCATATTTCCATTTCCAAACAAGAGGACAGGGGATCTGTGCCTATGACGTCACACTATGGCAACGCCACACAAACCACGTTGGGACCCATTTTTTGTAAGAACTAAATTAATATCAGATTCTGCCAATAAAAGGGCTCTAAAACAATTCATATGTAAATATTTTGCATATTTAATGCAAAATCTCATTTTTATGCTTTAGTGCTGCAACAAGGTTTTATTAATAATAAATTATTATACCTTTTGTTTTACTACAGCATCTGTAAGCTTCCTGTACAGATCATTAAGGATGCTTGTTTCAGCTGTGAGATTAGACGATAGGATCAATAAAAAAATAAGTTGTCACACACTCCATGGAAACTTTCAGAGAATCCACAAATAGTGGCTTTCAAATAGTTTTGTTACTTTTAGCAAGTTTAGAAAAGCAGCAGATGAGACAGCATGTCTGATAATTTAGTTTTTCATCTGATAATATTAGAACATGTCAGTAATGTCTGAGGGGCTTTTATAAACACTGTATAACTAACACTCCTGGAGAGGGTATGAATTACACAGAGGCTTCTGGGGAGCCCAGTTATTGGGGGGGGGGGGGGGGGGGGGGCATTTTGCCTTGGCCCCCAAAATGTCTTGAAACGGCTCTTTGGAAGAGTTGTGCGACACAACGAATCGATGACGCAATTCGTTGCCAACGCTTTTAGTAATCGATTTTCATCGAATTTATCGATTCGTTGTTGCAGCCCTAGCGCAGAGGCATACGTATAAAACATACGTATACGTAAGGCATACGTTCATGTTGTCAGCACTGTCTTGTGAACACAGCAAGGTGTAGTTGTTATGGTAACCTAAGGTCACATTGTCTTGAATAAAAACAGCTTGACTGAATATTCCAGCACCAAATGCCAAAGCAATGCTAGTTTAAGGTGACAGTGTGCGTTTTCCCTGATGAGAGGGGGCAGTACATACCTTAATCATTGCAAACAAGCTTTACTTTTGTGTTCAAGTAATACCTTACCAACGGATGGCCATTAGGGTCAAAAATCCCTGGGAGTGCAACTTCCAGCAAAATAACAAACACATCAGACTCCCTTTCATCACTGGCAATAAGTGAAGAGGTAAATGTGTAAAACAACAATGTTTATTATTGGTGAAAGTTTACAAATCAGTAATGCATTTTGTCCTCACCGGCTTCCGTAGAAGGAAACATGACACCCAATATGGCGTTTTCCAGAGACTTAGACCCGCTCCCATGCATTTTAGAACAGATTTTTTATAGTTATATGTTATGAAACTGCCAATATTTTTCATCAACTTGGCATCTTTTAATTCACTTACAACACTTTTATGGATATTTCCATAGATTAATGGTTAAAACTACACATTGTCACTTTAACGGCTTACACCAGGAATGTTAACAGCTGCAATGGTTATGGGTTCTTTTGTGTTCCAGAAACATCTAAGCCCCCTTCAGGCAGGCCATGAAAAACGGAAATGTTCAGGACTCTGTCCGTAAGACCTTTCTGTCTGAATACAAACATCCGGATAACGTTTTCCGTAATTAAACCGGACGACGCCCCTGGTAACAGGTCCGGACTTGTCACGGACAGGGTGGCTGTTTCAGACTGGTGAGGTCGAGTTCCGGACAGGGAGGAGGGGGAGGAGGAGGGGACCGGGGGACTCTGTGTGCACCTAGATAGCCCGCTGCTGTAGCATGCGGCGAACCATGGCAGCTCACCTCCTACGGTACCATCTCCTAGACGCGCGACGGAGCGCATCACACCTCTTCCATGATTCCTTTTAACCACTGAGCTTCATCATCCAGGTCTCTTATGCGTCATCGTGTGCGCAGAATTATGCTTAACATAAGTCCGATCAGTGAGAAGAATTCTATCTCTTCGTCTGCCATGTTTGACTGAATGGCTTTGTTTGGGTAAATGACTCATGTTCGCCCGCCGCACTGCCCCCCCCCCCCAAGACATCTGGAACTTTTCCCTGCTGTGTGAAGGCAGCTGAAACCGGACTGAATTGTCCGCACATATTCCAGAATGTCCATCTGAAAAGGGTTTTAGTTTCTCTGGCAGTGCCTTTGCTCTTTTGCCTTGTGGAGCTGTCTGCTTGGAGGGGAAAAGAGCAGAAGAATACGGGTGGAGTTAAATGGTTGCATCTTTACTTATTCAGCATTTTTTTTCTTTTTGCATCTGGTGACACAAATACAACCACTGTAACCTGTTACATTCAATAAAGCTTATTGAGCACAAATTGTTCACCCCTTCTAAATGCATGCATGCGTTCAGATTGAACTATCACCTTGTTGATGCGAAAATTGACCGTTTGTGTTTTAAAGTGTACTCACAACATTTCAAATAAGAGACCACAAGAGAAAACAGAAACAAGAGCTCTTTAGACAAGTGAACACTATAAATGAGGGATTTTATATTTATGCCACATGTTGAGATTTCTCAAAACATGTGGTGGGTGTTAGTGTCCAAAGACTTGTGTTTGTGGTCGTAGGTTGGCTGTTTTACCTTGTTTTGATTAAATTTGATCCATTTAAAAATAAAAGCTCCATTTATCTCTGCATGCTTTCTGGTTAGGAGATGCTTATGAG